CACGCTTGCACACTATATCTTTCTTTCTCTCTCTCTCTCTGTCTCTCTCTCACTCTCTCTTTCTCTCTCTCTCTCTCACTCTCTCCCTCCCACTCTCTTTATCTCTTTCTCTCTCTAACTCACTTTTCCAACTATAACAATGGGTTGTTGGCGGGTCCTCTGGTGTGGGTTGCTCCTTCTTTCCCATCAAACATCTGTCGTCCTTATCTCCCCTCCTTCTATTTTGTGTTTGTTACTCTCTTGTAACACCCCTAATCTTCGGCACTTTTATGACCTTATTGTGTTGCAAGTGCCGTAAAACTCTTATAAAAACTAAAAACAGCCATAACAAAATCACATGGTATAAACCACATCCCTCTTGCTCCGACCCCCTTCTCTAGGCAAGGATCTACCTAAGGAAGCAGCTATATCTACCAGCTCTGCATAAGTCAGACTTAGAAGCAACCCAAGAAACAAGTGACACGGACGTGAGCAGCAGTGAAACCACGCCCACAATTCCAGGCAAGGAGAAGTACCGGGATATAGCAAGGCTACTTTTGGAGCACGGAGCAGACGTCCTGGTCTACAACTCGGAGTTTTTGACGCCGTTGGAAGTGGCGGAGGAAGGAGACGACCCGGTCCTGATTGATATTTTCTTGGGGGCTTGATAATGACGATCCCTTGGGGTTGACACTTTTTTAGTTGTTGCTTTATTCCATTTTTATTTAATTAAAAATTCCCTGTATTTAATTTTGTTTCGCAACTTTTAAAAAAGTACATTGTACCTTCAATTTTACTCCAGTTTGTAATTTTGTTCCGACATTTTAAAAAAAGCGAATTGTACCTTCAGTTTTACTTCATTTTATGTCAGTTTTTGTTCCGTCATTTAAAAAAAAAAGCGTATTGTACCTTTAGCGTCTGTCTTTGCTTTCTTCCCCACATTTAGCCAGGGATAGGTTTTTTAAAATCTTATATAAGGAGAAGAATGACGAGATGGTTGTTTCTCAGAAGTGGTAATCAGGTGTTCATTTTTATCTCCCTTTTTGCGCTGTCATTCTTTCATGCATGTCTGACGCCGGTTTCTCCCTTGTGCCTATATATCGTTGAAAAGGTGTTAAAATGTCCCAACAAAAAACCGCCACTTTTTTTTCTTCAAAAGTAAAAAAAAAAATGTTTCATTCTCTTATTAGGAGTACCCACTTAATGTATCTTTTCTTGCTTTTTTACAATTCAGAATTTGAATTTTTACAAAGTATTTCTCCAGCTCATGAAACCAATACCACATGATTATGAAACTGAAAATCAGAAAACTCAAAATCTAGGACTTACTACTTTTGAACAGATGATCGACAATATTATGTCGTTCACTTAAAAAAAAAGAAAGAAAAATCCTGTGGTTTTCCCATCATAGTTGACAAGATCAAGGGGACAAGCAACTATATTGGTTGTGTTGTTATCATTGTTTATTTGTTACAATGTACAGTGCATTAGAGCCTGTCTAAAACGACCACAAATTGTCGAAAAGAAAAGTGGCTATCTTAGACAGGTGGTTATCTTGGACAGTATCGTTATAATGTTAGAAAAACCCACGAGGGAACTGTAAAATGATCGCTTGTACAGGGGAATGTCTTGTACAAGTGGTCGTAAGAGCAGGTTCGACTGTTTTAGGCCTATACCATTTACTAGTCACTTCACCTCTGAGGTCATCTCCACTGAACAGAGAGAAAAATAGAACCTGTTCAAGGTCCAGAATTATTTTTGCTCATTTTCATGATGAAGGGCTTTAGCGTATTAATCAATATCTATAACTTTGAATCGAGTGTCAATGTTGATCTTAAGGCTTATACAGCTACAATTGTGAAAACATACCTGTCACATTACCAAGATGTCAAGGCATGCTCTCAAGGAAAAATTGTAGCTCAGCTAATGGGTTCTCTGACCTGGGTTCAAATACTTGTTTTGACCTTAGATGTTAGAACCGTGTCAAGGAACCGGTGTCTGGGGTGTAGCTGGTAGTTTTTGAGCCGTCGTACGAAGAAGACGTGAACTCAACTCCTATGAGGAGAGTTTTAAAGAAAAATCTTGCTCGGCTTTCTTGAGAGATGTTACATCAATCTCAACCCAGGTCGCCCACATAGGGTCAAAGCTGCCCGCCTCCTGAATTATTCAAATTGTGTCCATGGACGGTTCAACATTTACAATCAATTACTTTAAAACAAATATTGTATAGCGTTATGGTTTCCCATCCTGTTCAATCGGAGATATGTGTTGATCTGTAGGGTTCTCTTCTTCAACAACTGCACCTTTATAAAAGATTCCAGAGTATATTTTTAAATCAATGTATTTCTGACTTTGGACTAGGATTTGATGAATGTTGTGACTATTTCAGCTAAGTTGTTGAATAATCGTATATCAATCTACTGCAAATGTTATTGTGTCATCACATCATGGATGATTAGAGGTTTTGGTGTGAATTGCTTTTTCTTTTATATCAAATATCTATTGTCATTATCTCTCCTTCTTTTCTGTGCAAATTATTTTTCTCTAGAGTCTATGGCACCTATACATCTTGTATGACCCAATTGTGTTACAGGTGCCGTAAAAGCCTTTTTAAGACTAAAACTAAACATCGACAGCCTTTGTCGCCCCGTGCCAGAGTATAGGCCACCAATAGCTCACCATCTACTTCTGTCCTGGGCTATAGTCTCCACCTTTGTCCAGCTGTATCCTATTTCCATCAGGTCCAAATCAAAGTCTCTCTTCCAAGTAGTTCAAAACATTTTCCCCTTGCTTTTTCCTTGTGGATTCCATCGTAATGCTTGGTATGTAAAGTTAGTTTTTGGTTTCTTCAAGGTGTGTCCAATTCACTTCCATTTTCTCTTTCTGACTTCCATGTCTATTTCCTGTTGATTTGTTTGCTGCTACAGTTGATATTTTTGGTGGCGCCAGGCCAACGAGTTTTAACAATAATTTTCAAAGCAAAAGTTGACAGATTGTGCCTGTGACTGTTTCAAAGTTTGTTTTTGTAATTGTCCATGTTTGCGATTCATAAAGTAGAACACTTCTGAAACTGGTGTTGAAAACCCGTGTCTCGGTTCTTGTTCCTAGAATTCCTGATTTTTATACGTTTTATTATGTACCTGTCGTTTTTATCAGTATATGGAAATCGTAAACCTTCATCTTGTCCCATAACTTTCTTTTTCTTCAACTATTTTCCACACCCTGTTGATAAAGTAATTCTGTTCTATTCAAGCTGATTATATAGGTCGTATGTCAGTATAAAGTATGGTGCATGTCACACTCAGTACAGCTTTGAAAGGCAACATTCACGCGCGCGCACGCACACACGTGCACACACACACACAGACACACACACACACACACACACACACACACACACACACACACACACACACATACACACACACAGTGCCCTGTACGTATTAACAAATCAATAAACTCAAAAAGCCTGTCAACATGTTTCGTACTTTTTTATACCAAGATGATGACAGCATAATTGTCTGCGAGATTGAGTGGTGTACGAACTTTATGACGAAAGGGAATTTAAAAAAAATTATATTTTGTACAAGATACCTTCGTTGCAGTTGATCTTTGTGTCATCTCCTACAAGTGCCTTATTTTAAAAATTACTATAGCGACAAATAAAGTATCTTATCATAACTTTGTGTCTCGTTTTCTTTGTTTGCTTCCAGTCTGTTATTACTATCTGTCTGACTGACTCTTTCCACGCACTAAATGAACGATATTGTATCGACGTGCTTTTCTTAACTCATGCACCCCCCCCCCAGCCCAGGGCAGTGCTACTGACTGACGTGTCTTTGGGCTATTCCCAAAAGGGGGGACATTAACATCTCTTTATGCACAGTAGAATTGTAAGTGGGCTGATTTATCAGTGTCTTGCTGATACTGTGTTCCGGAACAACATAAGGGGAACTCAGTTTTGTTTTAGTAGAGGTTTTACGGCGCTCGCAACTGCATAAGGTCATATGAGCGCCAGATAAGGGGAACTGCTGCTTTTTCTGTCCTCATCCATACTATCGTCATTTTCCTCTACTTCTTTTGTATTTTTGTCACTTTCTTGTGAACTGCTATTTCCGGAGTGCGTAGATATTCGAATCATACTTTGTGCTGTTGAGGCTATAGAGGTGAGCAGAGTTAGCTTGATTTCCCGTTTGGACTTCTCTGTTGACATATGACCTTGTGCAGTTACGAGTGCCGTAAAACATTACTAAAACAACAATAACTCAAGCACAACTCAAGTTTAACAATTTTTTACTCTGCTATGTATACATTTATTTGACGAGCTCCCAATGCCTGTATGCCGTAATTTCTAAAAGTACAGTAGAGCTTTATGCAGTTTTCACAATTTTACAGAAAAAAAATAATTAAAAAATTTAGAAAATGAATGTTGTTACCAAGAAAGAAAACTCTTTGCAAATATACCAAGTATTCGGAAAGAATACAATATGACAATAATTTCCTTATCTTTAAAGCAAATATTGTTTTCTTGGTAACAGCATTCAGTTTTTTGGCTCTCCTGCAAATTGTAAAAATATATACCGTACTGTAAAAAAATGACGGCATAGTTATGTAAGCAGTGTTGAAGAAGCAGTGCAAGCCATAGCTACTTACGTCACAACAATAGATTATGTAGGGTGCCATGGGTTGTCAGCAACTTTCACTGAAGGGCCAAAGTAAGCTTATCGAAACACGTATAGCGCGGTCAAACCACAGAATTCTACACTTGTATTATTTATAGAATTTTGTGGGTCAAACATTCGTGGCGCAACTTATTCTTCAAGATTTCCTAAACTATTGAACACAGACTTTCTAGCTTTTGCACAAAGGCTTGTATCAACTTGTCTTAACAGATCAAATAAGTTTGTTGTTAACACCTGTTTTGCCGTATTCTAGAAAATTCCTTATCAAATACCAATAAAAAACCGAAGTGGGTGATTTCTACCGATTTTAAAAGGTTTGCAGCTTGAGCAATATCGCTTTTAAAAGTAAGTTCGTCATGTTTTTCTAATCGGTCATTAGGCTTATTGGACACATGTTTTGAAAACCTTTAGAGCAAAAGTGTGTTTACTTTAAAATTAAATTCTTGTTACAAGTTTTACTACTAAAAAAGTGTCATTGGTGAGCTGTGACGTACGCCATATTAAACGTATGCGAAATGTGTGTGAGAAGCGGGAAGAGCTGTGGACAATTCCATTTTCCGCGTGACGGAGATTTAGAGTATTTTATATAAATTCATAAAGAAAAATATTCTAATCTAGCCTCAATTGTTGTGGAAGAATATGATTTAAGTTAAGGGAAATTGATACAAACTGCTGTGCAAAGGATTGGCGACATTGATTCATCTGTTAAAGAGATATTTGAGGATAAGATGAGCAACGAATTTTTGACCGCACTATAATTCCACACTGTCTGTAAAACTGATGACGATGCGTGCTCGTCTCTATTAATGTTATATCGAATCACTATTTGAATGTTCTTTAACCTGGGCTTTTTTTTTGCTTAGGATTCGGGGGGGGGGGGGGGGGCGCTTTTGGTGGTAATGGAGATCAAAGTCAAATCGGCCCACAGTTTTACTGTCCAAGACGACATCCCATGAGGAGAAAAGTGATGGTTTTAGACAATAATGCTTGAAGTGGAAAGTGGGCGTTTGGTCAGGTAGTCGTCAGAGTTGGTTCATCCAAACTTAGATCATGCGGCTCATATGATTTCATAGTGTTTATACTTTACTTTTTTCTTCCGCTTGTAGCGGTGGGTGTCGCGGGGAGGAACAGGCGTCTGTCTGCAGCAAGGCGAGTGGCCTGTAGGAGGGACATCCTGTGAGCTCTGAGGGTGTCTGCCACAGATTCGCTACAGCGTTGTCTGGTCTTCCTCTGGCTCTCCAGCCAGAATATCTGATGTTGTATGTCCTCAGAGCTGGTTGATTTGAAGGCATCCCTGTGTGCTGGCCGAACTAATTGATATTTTGTTTCTTAATGTGCGGTAGGACTGGTGTTATACATTATTGAATGTCTTTAAAAAATATGAAAGGCACCTAGAAATAACAAGTAGTATTTTGAATACCTCTGCTACAACCCTCCATAAATGCTGAAGGCACTTCCAAGGAAATGATATTATCCCAATCAAGGCAGAGAGAAAGCCAGAACTTGATGGGGTCTGGAAGACCTATTGTGAACAGCAGCCCTTGCATTAGAGACTGGAATGTTCATTTAGAGATGAACAAAAGAACAAGAGGAAAATGTTTGAATTGGCAGCTCATTTCAGTTTCAATGCATCTTGGATGCTGGTCTTATGTTTGGGTTAGCGATTAATTTTACTTGTACTTGTGAAGGATCATGTCTAAAAGTAACAACCCCCCCCCCCCAA